CGACTCGGAGTTCTAGGCTCCTGCCCTCCTCCCTCAGATGTGACGTTGTGGGCCCCAAACCTCTTCCCTCAGGCCTAAGAGTCCACCCCTTCCTCCTCCCTCAGATGTAAGGTTCTAAGCCCTACCCTTTCTCCCTCAGATGTGAGGCTCTAGGCTCCAGCCTTCTTCCCTCAGACGTGGGGTTCTAGGCCCCACCCTTCCTCAGGTGTGGGGTTCTAGGCCCCAACCTTCCACCTTGAGATGCGAGGCTCTAGGCTTCAGCCTTCTTCCCTCAGATGTGGGGTTCTAGGCCTCAACATTCCTCAGATGTGAGGCTCTAGGCTCCAGCCTTCTTCCCTCAGACGTGGGGTTCTAGGCCCCACCCTTCCTCAGGTGTGGGGTTCTAGGCCCCAACCTTCCACCTTGAGATGTGAGGCTCTAGGCTCCAGCCTTCTTCCCTCAGACGTGGGGTTCTAGGCCCCACCCTTCCTCAGGTGTGGGGTTCTAGGCCCCAACCTTCCACCTTGAGATGTGAGGCTCTAGGTTCCAGCCTTCTTCCCTCAAATGTGGGGTTCTAGGCCCTACCCTCCCTCAGATGTGGGGTTCTAGGCCCCAACCTTGCACCTTGAGATGTGGGGTTCTAGGCCCCACCCTTCTTCAGATGTGGGGTTCTAGGCCCCAACCTTCCATCTTGAGATGTGAGGCTCTAGGCTCCGGCCTTCTTCCCTCAGACGTGGGGTTCCAGGCCCCACCCTTCCTCCCTCACATGTGGGGTTCTAGGCCCTACCCTTCTTCAGATGTGAGCCTCTAGGCTCCAGCCCTCCTCCCTTAAATGTGGGAGGTTTTAGGCCCCAACCCTCTTCCATCTGGTCCAGTGGTCCTGACCCCAGTCTGCTCCCTCAGATCTAGGGCCCTGGGTCAAGCCCACCCCTCTCTCAGGTCTGGGGACCCTGCCTCCAGTCCGTTGTGTCCTCACCCTCAGATCAGAGAGCAGCTGGATGCTGCCCAGCGTGCCTACGAGGACCTGGAGTTCCAGCAGCTGGAGCGGGAGAGCCGCGCGGACGAGGAGCAGCGGGACAGCCCTGAAGTCCCAGCTCCAGACTCCAAGGTCCGGGAACTTCAGGCCAGCGTGGCCCAGCACAGGGTGAGTTCCCTGACCAGCCCGGCCTCCTCCATCCCTGCCTCCCTTCCGTTTCCACCACAGTTCTGAAGCATTCACTGAGTTACAGACGTGGGGGGTAACCATTCGTGAGCCACCCACTCCTGAAGGCACATCCTGTTCCTTTTTCTCATACTGTAGCTGAAGACGGCGGAAGGGTTCCTTATACCCTCAGGAACCAGGAGTGTGAGCTTCAGGCCTCTCTTCCCTCAGACCCAGGGGTGCAGGCCCCAGCCCTCCTTCCTCAGACCTCAGAACCAGGAGTCAGTCTAGGCCCTAGCTATTCTCCCTCAAGACACAGGGGTTGAAATCTCAACTTGCTCATATTGTCTTCTCCTTCATTCATAATTGTTTTCACTTTTAAAGTCATTCCTTCGTTTGCACGTGTGTTAGAGCACGCACGCTACCATGCTCATGGACGTCGAGGGCAGGAGGTCATTCTTGCCTTCCACCCTGGGATTGAACTCAAGTCCCGAGGCTTCTCAGCGAGCGCTTTTACCTTCTGAGTCTCCTCGCTGACCCCAACCACTCATTCATTCTGGCAGCTTTATGTTTAAATCTTGGCCTTGTCCGGTGGGGAAGTGAGACAGGCTTGGCTATAAAGCT